TTTGGGTATTTTCAATAATTTCCCGTGTGTGAGGTGAGTGGAGAAGATGAATAGTGTTTTTCTTTTTTGGTTTTTTTATTTAATTCTTTTATTTTAACACTTTTTTTGATGAAAATGTAAAGTTACCTCTCTACCCTTTAAAAATTGTTAGATTTTGGTCAAATTATTGACTTTAGGTCAACTAACAGATGAATTAGCGATTTCCATCCATTCAGACTACGGGTGCGAATTTTTTAAAAGTTCTATACCGCGAGTGATACAAATGAAAGATTTGGTACTGTTCCTGCAATTTTTCCTAAAAATAATGTTAAAGTGTCACTTTTAAAAAAAAAAAAAGTGACAGAAATTAAAAAAAAAAACAACAAACAATAAAAAAGAGTTGCAGAACTTTCAAAAAACTAAAAAAAAAAGTGACAAAATCAATTTGGGTGTAAATAATATGGGAATTTGTAATGTCTTCACTTGTTTTGAAGATAAATAGGAACAAGATAACGAATATAAAAGTAACAAAATACTTGAAATCGTTGATCTCACTTTTTTTGTTAAAAAAGTGATAAATATTTAGAAATGCGACAAAAACTCAAAAAAGTGACAAAATCTCAAGAAAAAAAGTGATAAAAAGTGAAAATGTAACGAATATTCAATAAAGTTAATTTTTTTAAACTAGCATATAAATTTGGATTTGGGAACTATTTAATAAAGTAACAAATATTTTTAAAAATGGCAAATATTCAATAAAGTGAATTTATTAACTAGCATATAAACTTGGATTTGGAAGTTATAAAATAAAGTAACAAATATTCAAAAAAATAAAAGTGATAGAAAGTGAAAAAAAGTGACAAAAATTGATGCAGAATGTATTGTTCCTTGTTGTCTCGCCTTGATTCTTGTTTTTCAAACATTTTGAACAAACTTCACATTTGTGCTTTGATCATTTTATTGAGGCATTACCATTTTGACCCCAAAAATTGTATCAATGATGTGGCCAACGGATAATCAAAACCTCTCGCGTCCACGTAAACTGAATCCTAACACATTTGGACTAGCCATTAGTTAAACGGTTGAATCAACCTAGAAGAGTAATTTAGGGTGTGGGAGAGCCTAGAATGTGAGCCTCCAATCAAAAAAAGGGGGTCGATTTGAGCTAGAATATCATATTTGTATGTAGCAAGAATATAGGATTGAGAGTCTAAACTTGCATTAACCTTGAATGATACTGAGTGTGAGCTTTTATACTTGAGTAGGAGAAACGAGGTCCGTTGGATAATAGGACACGTGGCTTCATCAAATTGATCGGCTATTCTTGTTACATGCATCAATTAATCAATCAATCAAGGCATTAAATGCTAAGACCCCTTACGTATCTACAAATCCTAATTTGTGCAAGTGGGATTTGACCGTGTAGGCATACAGAGGCAGTGTTGGCAGTAAGTTATCTTGTCGCTCACTTCACCTCAAGATCTGTTAGGGATCTCGACATCGCTTCGTCAGAACTGTCTCCTACACGGGCGTCTGTCCAAATGGGGTCGGTCCACTTTCGCATCATATGAAAGAGGTCGCTTCCCTACTTATAATAGGGTCGTCTATGTTGCTACGTAAGGTAGGGGCCCTCAAATCCGTCCGCCACGTAGGGGACGATTATCTATATGAGTAACAACAGCCCTCGAGTCCAAGTGTGATTATTTATACAATGCGTGGAATTGCTGGTCTAAGAAAAAAGAAAACTTCGTTAATTGAAACTGGCAACGAGGTTGAGGGGTATATGATGAGGGTCTAAAAGTAAAGGGCAAGCTATTCGATGGTTGAACACTGTGATAAGGCTGAAGAGTGTTGGCGAGGCCATTGGAGAATCTATCGAGCTTCTTTAAATCTGGAGCATATAGTAAGGCTACACAACTGTTAGGTGAGACCATTGGAGAATCTACTGAGCCTCTTTAGAGCTAGAGCCTATAATAAGGCTGTAAAAGTGGTAGGCGAGGTCATTGGAGAATCTACCGAACCTCTTTAAAGCTGGAGCCTATAGTAAGGCTGCACAATTGTTAGGCGAAGCCATTGGAGAATCTACCGAGCCTTTTTAGGAGCTGAAGCCTGTAATAAAGCTGTAAAAGTGTTAGGCGAGGCCATTGGAGAATCTACCGAGCCTCTTTAGAAGCTGAAGTCTGTAATAAGGCTGTAAAAGTGTTAGGCGAAGCCATTGGAGGTTGCTAGGTGGCGTGCCATAATGATTTGAAGGGCGTGTTGATTCCCAACGAGGATAGCTAGATGGCGTAGCAGTTTCCTAGACTCGAGCTACTTGCGCATTCAATGCGTAACGATCGACATGTCTTACGCGAATTTGTGAGGCATGTTTAGCACGACTCCATCTGAGCCCTTAGTTTGAACTTTGATCAAGTGCGCTTTGAAATTAACGTGGCAGGTGGGATTACAGGTGGATGGTCCAGATTAAAGTGGAGGAAGATCCAACGGTTAGGGTCCATTCATTACGCATATATAAGGCTGAAAACCTACTTTTTTTCCCCCTTTTCTTCACTTTGCGAAAGTTTCAAACCCTTTATTGCGAAAATCATTACTATTTTCCTTAGCATTTTTTCTGCTGTGTCCGATAATCAACTCTGTTCCTTCTCATTTTTTCTGCATTCCGGATCTTGGGTCTTAGATCTCGTGTAAGTATTTATCATTATCAAGGCATTTTCTTCCCCTGCTAGTTAGATGGTTTCTTCTTCGAAAAAGAACGTGTCTGAGGGGTCTTCCGGTGTGAACATGGCATTAATTTGCGCCGAGGCGGGTATTCCTCCAGTGATTCCTACCGAAAGGATCATGGAGGGGATTAGGGGACCCATAGTGTATGGATGATGCATAAGGGTCCCATAGATTATAGCATTAGATAGGAGGCTTCCTTGTGACCAACTGATATAAAAGAGGGTGAGTTAGGGACCTTTCAGGAGAGGTATATGATCCTAAATAACATAGAAATGTTCGTACCAATCCCAGAAGAGAGGCCAGCTTTCCTAAAGAGGGGTACGTGGCGGCGAGCTAGGCCATTCTAGCTGGGAGAATAAGGCTAACCTTGTACCCCTTCTTCAGATTTATTCTTAGGCAGTATAACTTGGCCCCAACCCAGTTGGTACCCAACGCATGGAGCCAACTAGCAGGGACCTTCCTCCTTTGGAAGGAGGTCACCCTTGGCGAGGATATGCCTCCCCATGTTTTCCAAACCCTTTTCCAACCTCGAGCCTCGAATGGGGGGGAGCGACTGCAATGGGTGGTATTGCATGAAGCCCTGAGGCTGGCATTCTCCTTTTATTTTGGAGACTCTAACCTCTATCTAGAACTAGAAGTCATCTTGGTTTTGGGTTAGGGGTCGTTGGCAGACAATGAAGGAAGATGCAACCCTAGAGATAACCGTACAGACCTAATATCACAAGTATAACGCGTTTAGCCCAAGTCACAACAATGTTTACTCTATGACATTGCTTTTGATTCCTTGTATCTAATGTGTACTTTGTGCAACTGCAGTTAATAGATTCGAACTTGAACCTTCAAAGTGGGCTATCATAAGGGCCATTTACAAGCTACCTACAGAGAAGAGGCATTTCAAAAATACAATTGCCAAACGAAACCTCTTCGTTACGCATCAGCTAATGATTACTAAGGGTGAAGAGGCTTTTACTCGTTCATCTTTAGTGATTACGCTTTGTTGACATTTGCCTGATAGCGTCTTATTGGGGTTTGCAGGTCAGTACGACAAGAAGAAGTATGTTAAACCTAACATACTTTTCCTGAGGAACCTCGGTGAGGCGAAGAAGAAACAACCCATGAGCTCCTCTTCTGATTCTTTCAAGAGTCAGAGAGATGAATTAACTCGCATGTTCAGACGAACCCACCACCTCCTTTGGAGAAAAAGGGGGTAAAAGGAGACAAAGAGGACACTGAGCCTTCAGAGGAGAAGTTTTTGAAAAGAAAGTTGATGTCGAAGAAGAATACCAAGCCTCCCCCACCCCCAAAACGCGAAACGATCTTTGGCGAATCACTTCTGCGTCCTATTGTTGTCGAGCCCATTTCCTCCATAAAAATTGTTGATGTGCAGGAGGTAGCCGAAGAGGAGAGCCTCTGTCACTTTTTGTTTTTAATGGTCGTTACTTTTTAAAAATTTCCATTTCTTTTTATAATATTTGTCACTTTTTCTTCCGATCACTTTATTTAAATTTTTATCACTGTTTTGAGTAACATTACTTTCTAATAAAACTGATTGTGTGTCACTTTCTAATAAAAAAGTGACACTTAATTTTACATAATATTTTTTACTTTCAAAATAATTTTCATATGATTCTTCAAAATGCTCCTAATTTTAGAGATATTTTTGTCAGTTACCCATTTATTTTTTTCCCTAAAAATCGCTTCCAATATACACCTAAGAATGAATGGCCTCATAATGCACCTTCTCAGGATAATTGGCTAATCTTTTTGTATGCAAAATTTAAACTAGAATCTCGACTACATAAATCATTAACAAAAGGATTCATGATGCTCAACTATAAAAACTTCTTATGATCTACAGCAAATCGAGAAAAGAACATAAACCATAATGTGCAAGGCTGAAGCTACAAAAGGATTTGATACCACAATTGACTAGAAATGTGTTACAATCAATTCCAGAAGCAATTCTCTCGATGATTCCTTCTATGGGAGAAATTATAACCAAAATTTACACAACACAGCTAAGCACCATGAACTAGAAAATAAAGATTGCATTAGAAAACAATGCAATCTCAAAAAACATGTTCTGAGTTATCTACGAAGATTACCACTAGAGATTGGTACAACTTCAAAAGAAGCAATGATGCGATGAGCACTCGGAGGCAAAGGGCGAGTGCAGTAAAACAAAGATTGGGAAAGTACCAAATCAATAAAATATTGCTCATATAATTACATTATCATACTTCAATCGCTAAAAAAGAATAAATGACAGTGATTGTATCACAATACTATCCACTCAAAACCTAGGAACAACCAAAACATCTTCTCATAGAAAAGAGACTCGATGATGGAGGTTCCTGCTCAGAGTCAAGTTTTTTGCAAGGAAGGTGCTTAAAGAATGCTTTCACTGCTCCTGCTACCCCGTCTTCGTTCTCCATGGCCTTTGAAAGTTCAACTGCACGCTCCTTCACCTGCATATTATCTCTCTACTTCGTTATTCAAAAGTACTCTCACACAGACTCACAAACGCACTTAACATCACTTGTGTCTTACACTGACTCCGTTTCAAACAAAAAATTATTCTCTCATTATTTCCCATATAGGACAAACATCCCAACATCTATAAAAATAGTTCAGTCAAGCAAAAAAATGGAATTTATAAATTCTAATTTGACTTTCACATTTTCTTCACGTAGGAAATATTTGTATGCAAGTCCACCATACATGCTTTAGCAACTATACCATAAGATGGCAGAAGCGAAAGAAAATGGAGATTGAAGAAGTACCTTGGGATCTAGCATAAATTTAATTGCATCTACCAGCTTCGGAAGTGAAAATTCATCAACTGGTATGGGTGGAGGACCAACACCTCTAGCATGGACTCTATCTCCCCAAAAAGGTTGGTCACCAAAGAAAGGGACAATAGTTGTTGGACACTATATAAGAATAGAGATTAAAATCAAGTAGTATTCAAAAATGAAATCACATAGGATGGAAGAGGTGAGATAAACTAGTTGTGCTAATCATTACTGCAGCTTTGAGACCAGCAGCCGTTGTTCCAGCACCCCCATGGTGTACCTGAAAACAAGTTGAAAGCTTGGAAATCTCATAGAGCTCAATATAAACACATCGGATTTAACCAGTCAATATCTAGACGTGCATAGAACAATATGGTTTTACCAACTTGTTAAATGCTTCCAACGTGATTTCACTCGAAGAATTCAAAATATCCATCAGCAAACCACAAAGTGGTAAGGAATAGTATGCTATAAGCATATATTCCTTAGTGATGTTTTCTGATATATTTAATGAATGTGATATCTGTATGCATTTTTCATGTTCATGGTGTCTGATTCATTGAGAAAATTTATGGATGCATTGTTGCAGGAAAGATTATACATAGCCTCTGACCTTGGTAGAAATTAAAATCTAAATTTTTTATCAAAATCAAAGTCTACAATATGTTAACCACATATTTTATGAGACCCACAGCTTTTCAACCACTCATTTCATAAACTTTTATCAAAATCTGCTAAAAATCTAATTTTGATCTCCACCAAATAGAGGCATGGTAAATAAATGACTTATATATAGTAGATATAATTCGAAATATATTAAATTAACATTTTGTATATGATCAGTAAATAAAGTTGAGCATTTTATTCTACAAGATCCTATCATCCTAGGCTAAAGGCACGGATGTCAAATCACGTAAAATTTAAATCACAACGGTTAAATGAAAGATTTCATTGGGTAGCACAACCCATCTTAATTTTGGCGGGATAAAATAGACCCTTGTTCAAGACATATACGTTATTTTGTGGCATTTAGAGAGAAAAATTATAATGTGATAAATACTTCAATACTTATATGTATCCTGAGTTATCTCTAATCTTTACATGCGACATTTAATACGTGGATCCTAATTCGATTCCAACGAGAGACTGCAACAGCTATTTTAACTGCCTATGACATCTCTTTGGGATTTCAAAACCAACACCAACAATAGCGCAATCATTCCAACTCCCCCAAGAAGAAAGAAACAAAGAAAAGAAGATCCTTTTTGAATGGACTTTATTAGGTTTGATAATCGTTGTCAAAACAATTTCAGTTTAATAAAGTCATCACCGGTAAGAAATATTCTAAAAAACACGCTTGCCTAGAAACACCACACCTTGACAGTGAGCATGAAATTAAGTTATCGACTGTCAAGTTGACTGCTTCAGTTGACCACTTAATGCATGACTATTTTCTTTTTCATTTTATAAGGCTTATTGGGAAGTGGTGCGATCAGACCTTGTAGAGGTTCTTACCTATTTCTTTAAGCGTGGAAGATTCTTAAGAAGTACCAATGCTACGTTTTTTGTGCTGATTCCTTAGAAATCGTAGTACCAATGCTACGTTTATTGTGCTGATTCCTAAGAAATCGAAAGCGACAGATATTAAGGACTTTCGTCCTATTAGTTTGGTGAGTGGGGTATACAAGATTATTGCAACGATTTTGGCGAATAGATTGAAGGAAGTGTTAGGGAAAGTGGTGTCTAAATTTCAGAATGCCTTCGTCAAAGGGTGCCATGAATGCATTGATTCAAGATTGCGACTAGGGGGTTCCAGGAATGTTATGTAAGCTTGACATCCAGGAGAAGGCTTATGATCACGTTAACTAGGGATTTGTTTTGTATATGCTGAGACAATGTGACATTGGAGAGAAATGGTGCCAGTGGATTCAGTTTTGTATCTCTACGGTCTCATTCTCAGTTATGGTGAATGGCATTTCGGAGGGTTATTTTCATAGTAGTAGAGAATTGAGGCAAGGGGATCATTTGTCTCCGTTGTTTGTCATTGTTATGGAAGCATTTAGTAGGATGCTCGAGAAGGCCGTGGGACAAAGTTTGTTAAGAGGTTTTGCTGTTGAGCAGTTGCAGGTTTCTTGTCTGCTATTTGCAGATGATATGCTGAATTTTTGTGATGCGGATGATGAGCAATTCAGGAACTTGCGTCGTTTACCCTTGTGCTTTGAAGCCGTTTCTGGATTGAAAATAAATTTGGGAAAGTCAGAGGCTATCACAGTGGGAGAGATCGATAACGTAGAGGAGTTGGCTGCGATCTTGGGTTGTAGGGTGGCGCAATTGCCTATGACATATCTTGGACTTCCTTTAGGAGCACGGTTTAAAAGCACACAGATCTGAAATAGTATTGTGGAAATGATGGAGAAAAGGCTAACAGGATGGAAACGTATGTACCTTTCAAAAGGGGGGCCATCTTACTCTCATAAAGTCCACTTTATCGAATCTCCCTACTTATTTCTTGTCATTGTTTCACATTTCTGTTGCAGTAGCAAAAAGATTAGAGAGGTTCCAAAGGGAGTTTCTTTGGGGAAGATTAGGGGAGGAGAGGAAACTTCACTTGATTAATTGGCGTGCACTTTGTTCTCCTATTAAATTCGGTGGTCTCGGAATGAGAAGTCTAATACTGTTTAATAAGGCCTTGTTGGATAAGTAGTTGTGGCGATTCGGAGTGGACAGGGAGAGTTTTTGAAGAGATTATTGGGGCAAAATATGGTGTTATGGAGGGGGGATGGTGTGATTTTTATGGGGTGAGTTTGTGGCGGTTTATCCGGCGAGGGTGGAACGACTTTCGGGATCGGATGTCGTTGTAGTGGGGAATGGAAATACCATCAACTTTTGGAATGATTGTTGGTGTGGTGATCAACCGCTTAAGGTGGGATTTCCTTCTTTATATCGTATTGCTTTGGAGCCGTATGCCATGGTGAATGATGTCTTAGAAACCCATAATGGGAGTTCTAGTTGGGATATTGTTTTTGGCCGGGGTTTGTAGGATTGGGAATTGGATGATTATGCGCTGTTTTTGACATCTTTATACGAGGTATATATCCGGGCAGGAGAAGATGATTGCAGCAAATGAAAGTTGACACGAGATGGTATCTTTTCAGTTCGCACTTATTTTAGATCTTTATTGGGTCTTGTAGAGAGTTCATTCCCCTGAAAGATGGTATGAAAGTGTAAACTGCCCCCACGAGTAGCATTTTTACTATGGATGGTGGTCAAAAGACAGATGTTAACAGTGGATAACCTCCGTATAAGGGGTTTTTATGTAACAGAGTGGTGTTATATGTGTAAGAGGGATGAGGAGACGACTGATCACTTATTCCTCCATTGTGATGTTGCTCGTTTACTGTGGAACGATATTTTGGTGTTGCAACACATGGATTGAGTGTTACCGAGGCGTATGGAAGACATGTTGAAGGCATGGAGGAGAAAGTTTCGAGACAAGGATAGCAGATTTGTATGGAACCTGATCCCGGGCTGTATCGTATGGTGTGTTTGGAGGGAAAGAAACAATTGTTGTTTTAAAGGCCAATCACGGACAATAGAGCAGATTAGGGAATTGTTTTATTTTACATTGTATATCTGGTTTAATGCTGCGGCTACTAGGCATATAGATGGGCTGCCTAATTTATTGTTGTTACTTTCCGATTTAACTTCATAATACACTTCCTGTGTATTATGCATTGATTAATAAAATACTTGATTACCTTCCAAAAAAAAAAATTCTTAAACATTACGTAATTATGATTTTGAGACTTATCGTTTGTTAGAAATTTCGAAAGCTTGTATGAAGTTCTTATAAACGATAAATCTATTTAGTAAAACTTGTCTTGTTTAAACTATGAAAAATAGTTTAGACTTTGCATTTCAATAACTTGAAAATTGTATAATTAACTAATTGTAGGAATTATTAAGTAAATATAATATTTTATAATTTTAGATATTCGGTACGTATTATTTTAATTATTAAAGAATTTTTAAAATGATTAAAAATTGAAAATAATATTAAATATTAGAAAATGCTTTTTTAAGCATAGGCTTGTAAAGCTTGAAACTTGGCCTCCACACCTAACAACGTTTACACTTTTTAGAACACTATCAGTACGTGAGTAAAGACAATATAATTGCTTACACAGTAATTACTAAAACTCTTTAAGAGAAAATGAAAGAACAAAATCAAATTATAGTACACAATCAGAATTGGCTAGTTCAAACTCAGGAATACAGTAGAAGAATGTAAGTAAAATTACCAATACTTTCAGACAAACAGACAATATGATGCATGTTTTTCATCAAATCTGTGCCGAAGGACATGGATAAATTCATTTTTATTATGATGCTTTCCTGACAGATCAATTCTTCCAGTTGTTTTTCCTTTTTCCCCCCTTAATTATGACTAATTGGGCAAACCAAGAAGCTATTTTCCAATTAATTAAATCAATGAATATGGTTAGCTTAGAAATTAACAAAGAAAAAGACA